AATGCGGCTCCCTGTTGGGGCCTTCTCGACGATCGGGACCATTGAAGGGGTGTGGGCGGCGGCGGGAAACCCCCTGACGTCGCTCTCGGAGCAGGAGCTGGTGAGCTGTGACGAGACGAACCAGGGCTGCAACGGGGGGATGATGGGGGACGCGATCCAGTGGCTGCTCTCCGCGCGCGGTGGGAAGGTGCTGACGGAGGAGAGCTACCCCTACACCTCCGGGGACGGGCTCACCGAGGATTGCCAGCTCGATGTCGGCAAGGTCGGCGCGGTGATCTCCGGTCTCGTGGAGGTTGACGCCAATGAGGACGCGATCGCGGCGCAGGTGGCGAAATCGGGCCCCGTATCGGTCGCTGTCGACGCCTCGACGTGGCAGCTCTACACCGGCGGTGTCCTCAGCACATGCGTGATGGAGGAGCTCAACCACGGGGTTCTCATCGTCGGCTACAACGACGACGCAAACCCGCCGTATTGGATCATCAAGAACTCGTGGAGCAGCGCCTGGGGTGAGGAGGGCTACATCCGTATCGAAAAGGGTACCAACCAGTGCGGTGTGCAAGACTACGCCGTTTCGGTTGAGGTGCAGGATGGGAACGATGACGGCAGCGGCAGTGGCCCATCTCCGTCTCCGCCGCCTCCACCACCACCTCCGGGTCCTGGCAAGAATGAGTTTATGGTCAAGACGTGCTATGACAGTCGCTGCACGTTGTTATGCTCCAATCAAACTTATCCCACAGGAAGCTGTGTTAATTTCAAGACAGGTGGATCCGCCATCTTTCGCTGTACCGGCTCGGAGGTCGAGGAGACGATCTTCTCTCAGAAAGGCTGCGTTGGCACTTCGAAATCCGCTCGGGAGCCTTTGAATAAGTGTTTGGAACGATTCTTCAGCTACTACGAAAATATCTGTCCCTCTGTCAATACTAACGCCAATTAATTTGAGTACAATAACACTTTTCGGACCAGACGACTCCATCTGGGGGTCCTTTGTGCATAACCAACTGAGTTTCATATATACAATAGGTTATAAAACCGTATGGCTGACATAAAATTGCTTCTCTTTATATACAGCGTCAATTATTACTACTGCTTTAGTACTCCGAGGGAAAAATACTTGCTTAATAATGCAATTCAGATGAATGTATAAAAATGCTGAGAATGATAGATTTTAGGATGAATAAGAAACTCTATATATAATAAGAGGTTCTATTCTAAAAGGAGGAGAAAGTTTTTTTTTATGCGGTAAAAAGATGCTTACAAAGAATATTTATGTGTAGGAATGAATCTAATCGTGTGGTGCATCTGGCCTTTTTTTTCTGAAATTTAGCTCTCAATGCAAATTTTACTCAAGGAAATGTTCGCTTTTCCTACCGTTTCTTCGTTTATCGAAACCGAATTTTGTATCTAGAAGCAAAGGAAAGTAGTTATGATAGGAGTAACAACGGCGCAAATATATACTCATTAGTTATGCTGGAAAACGACTCCTTATAACTGAGCCATGCAGAGCGAAGGAACATCTCATGCCGAATGAAGGGATAGACAATCGAGAAAAACTGGTGTAATTCATATTCGAAGGCTTTCAGGGATTCTTTTTTTTTTACGTGCTCATGTCTAAGATGGGTTATTATGTGGTGAAATCCCACATATACTTTATTGTTATCTAGCCACTATTTTACGAAATATATCGCAAACATCGACAAAAGAGACTCTGCTTTTGAAATTCTGCTCTATCTCAGGGGTAAGGGTGTGAACCCTGTCACTCACCCTGTCAAGAGGTTTCCCAAGCCCAACGCGCGCCAAGCTAGAACATAACAGTCCTGTGTTGGCAGATTTTTTCTTTTATGTGAGAATACCAAGTATTAGTAGTAGTAACGAAAGCGTGCTATCACATCAACATCCGCTTTTATTCTAGGATAGCCTAACTTGTGGGATGGCTTAGTATGGGGCACGCCTGAAATACTACAAGCACTTATTCTATTGCCCAACAGTATCGGAAGGATGAATTGAGACGGTGGGATGCTTTCCTTATACATACATACATTTAATAACTTCGTGTATTGCTGGAACCTCTAATACGCCATGTAAGGGATTTGAAGCATTTTTTTTTCTTGAATATACTTAACTCCTTCCTTTATAAAGGCGGCAAACACGCGCGCTTTGTCCTTTTACAACGTTTCTGCTTTCACACACGTAAAGACTGGGGCACATGGTTTTTTTTCCCATAACTATCATTTATGATTGCTCGTTTCTACAATACGTGATAGTTGAGTTCTATATGTGCATGTTCACTCACGGGATATTAGGAGTAGTGGTAATGCAAATACATTTCCCACGATCCAAAATGAATTGAATGGGGTATGGAGGGCCTCAAGTTTCAGCTTCCTCTTGATCATTACTCACACTTAGTAACTGACTTTAATACATTTCGCACAAAAGTTTCCTCATCAGTGTCGATAATTATTTATCCTAGATTAATTAAGAGCGACGCACTGAATCCTCCACTTATTATCCAGTTTTATTTCGTTCTTTTATTAATATACAACAAAAGGTCATTTTATTACCGTTCGACATGTCTTCTGCTCGCCAGAATGTCAGGGGATTTTGCTTTTCTGGGGTTGCCATTGATGAAAGAACTAAGTATATTGTGAACGTCTGTGGGAACGACGCTTTGGAGAAGCCGTTGGCAAAGAACATGACCCCTGTTCCTGAGCAATACCTAGATGAGAGAGGAATAGATAATTTAATTATTCCTATTTCTGTTAGTGATCCTTTGAAGCTATCGGCTTCCGATTATGACTATTGCATAGATGTTGTTGTACATTCGTCTGTAGTGAGTCGATGCCGTAAAGAGCATCCCTTGTTTGAGCACTTTATTTCTAGGCTTATTGAGCTCTCCGTTGAATGGATCCAGAAGGAATGTGGTGCTGTCGTGCAGCTGAAAACTTGCAAACCTAGAGATCTGAATTTGTTTATCCCTAAGGGGACTTCAACTGGAGCTCCAGATCCTCTCATCGAGCTCAAACGCGCTGCGGAGGCTTTATCTATTGCAAGCCAAAAGATGGCATCATCAGAAGACAATGAAAATATTCCAATACCTGACAGCTTGCATTGCGGAGCAACCTCCAAGGGTACCAAAGGGAGTTCCCCACTTATACAGGAGGTGATTTCCAATAAGGGCGTGCAGAAAGGATTCCTGCTGCAACCGAAAGGACGATTATATGGTGAAGGAGGATCATCTGAGGGGGAAGGAAAGGTGTATGATCAGTTAAGCCACATTCCGGAGTCGTTGCGGAAGCGATGTAAAGTTGTTAATGCAAGTGAGTTGAGCTCGAGTATTGCGAATGTCACTCCAGCAGCACCTGCACCTCGTCCTTCACCCCGTCATATCGATCCACTTAGCAAACCAGCACGGGAATGGAAGCTATTATCTTTAGATCATGCGGAAAATCACGTTACCGTACGGTTAAAGCCCTCCGACGCGATCCTGCGATTGGCGGAGGTCGATCTGTCTGTGACCAAACAAGCCATCGACGTGGATTCTTACCATGTTGATTTACCGTGCATGGTTGATATGGATAACGTCAAAGCGAAATACATAAAATCATCCAATGTATTGTTATTAACTTGTAGTGTTCTAAAAAACTCTGCATGAATTTACGCATAAAGATATTTGGATTGTGTTTACCGGTCCTCACAGGAAATTTTTAACGCATATCTACAGATAAAGGCAATAGTTTTCTTATTTGTCAAAGAGAGGGGACAGGTCCTTTGCCTTTTATTGATTGGCATTCGGAGTTTATTTATCTTTTTAACCATTTCCCCCTCGACTTGTTTGTTTTTCCTTCTAAGAGCAAGGACGTAGTAATTTATTGTTAGCGTTACTTTTCCTATGTGTGTGTTTTTCTGAAGAACCATATATGGATAGAATAAGACCCCTGGCGGAACTCCCTAATGGGAAAAAAATATACAGCATATGTGGGCAGAAATTTGAGGTTAACCAACCCTACTACCTAACGAAGCATATTGGGGTTGGGGCGTATGGAATTGTATGTTCTGCTCAGGTGGTCAACACGACGGAGAAGGTGGCAATTAAGAAAATACCCCGTGCCCTGGACGACCTCCGGGAAGGCAAGCGAATCCTGCGCGAGATGGAGATCATGGCGACGCTGAAGCACTCCAACCTCATCCGACTCCATCACTTCATTCGCCCGCAGTGCAAGGAAACGTTTGAGGATATCTACCTCGTCATGGACCTCTACGACACCGACCTCCACCGCGTCATCAAAAGCGGTCAGAAGCTTACAACGGAGCACCATCAGTACTTCATGGTCCAGGCCTTCCGTGGCCTGCATTACCTCCACTCCGCCAAAATCATGCACCGAGACCTGAAGCCGAGTAACATCTTAGTCAACGCGGATTGTGCCTTGGTGATCTGTGACTTCGGGCTCGCACGGGACGACCAGCTGAATCCGTCCACGGACCTCACGCAGTACGTCGTGACACGGTGGTATCGCCCACCGGAGGTGCTTGGGATGGGGTCCACGCAGTACACCAACGCGGTGGATGTGTGGAGCCTGGGGTTGATCTTCGCGGAGCTCGTCGTCGGGCGGACGTTGTTGCCTGGGTCGGATTATATTAAGCAGCTGATGTTGATTATGAACCTGCTGGGGACGCCGTCGGTGGAGGATATGGAGTTCTTGAGCGCGGAGGCACGCACGTTCTTGACGTCGCAGCCGAAGCACTCCGCACGACCGTTCAAGGAGCTGTTTCCGATGGCCACCCCCGAGGCGTGCGATTTGCTGTCCAAGCTGCTGGTTTTCCACCCCGCAAAGCGCATTAGCGCGAAGGAAGTGATTGAGCATCCATACTTTGAGAAATTTCGGGATCCCGCACAGGAGGCGGGGGCTGAGCACCCATTTGTGTCGAAGTACAATCGCGAGTATACTGCAGAGACGCTTCGCGATGCGCTCTGGGATTTAATTGTGACGAATTCCCCAGAGATTGGCTGACAAAGGCGCGCGCGATCAGCTAAATAAGGCGCATATATATGTATATATATGTGTGAATGAGTATGTGTGTGTGTGTGTGGGTGTTTGTATGATATCAATGAGACTAAGAGGGCCTAACTTGACGTTTCATATCCTTATTTGACGAAAAATGTCCTCTGTTGTGCTTGTCACTTCCTATTTTTTGTTTATTTTATTCGCATCGTTAGAAAAAGAGGTGTTGACGTGGACAACAAAGTTCTCGAGTTGAATTCTTTTGCCCCTTTTCCCACCTTTTCTCCAACTTTAAGAGCCTTAGAGGAGGTTTAAAGGGGAGAATATTAACCTCATAATGGCAAAGAGAATCCGGCGACCTCGTGAGCCTTCTGTTGGTGAGTGCTGTGGTTCGGGGTGTACAAGATGTGTTTATGATGTGTATTATGATGCACTGAAGGCGTACGAGGAGCAGAAACTCTCTAGCAATGAGGATGATGAGGAGTCTGTTGAGAGCAGCTCGGAAGAGGAAGACGACGCCAAGGACTACATCGGCTCTGTTGTGATCAAGTACCTCAACGAAATGCCGCCCAAAGACGTCGCGAGGGCTGAGGATAGGATCCATAAGGAGCTAGAGAGCAAATATACCCCGCTAGGACACATTCAGCTTGTGAAAAGTAGCGATACGGGGGTTGACGCACCTTCCATCAACATTCTTTCTGCTCAGCCGGTATCGGGTATTCCGATCCCGTACCCAGGAGACGTTGTTGAGATATTGGTGCCGAACGATCACCCTGCACTCGAGAACTGCGTTGAGCATCTCTGCGAGAGACTTATGGTGAATCCGAACGCGGGGTGCGTGTTGCAATGCTCGCCGTTTGTTCCGGAGGATCAATTTCCTCCCTGGCTGCCAATGGACGTTCCCCTCACGGTTCGTCAGTTGCTTTCAAACTACGTGGATATCAGCAGTTGCAGCTACCTCCTCCGCCCGACCTTCTTCCAGAGCCTGTTGCGGCTTTACAACAACGATCAACAGAGGGGGGGGAGTGGCGCTACGACGCTAAATGCTACCTCCTCGCTGGGCACTCCGGATTTGCTCAAGAGGTGCGCATCTGTGACGGATGGGGTGGAAGTGTTTAGATGCATCTCAAATAGCGGCAATCCACTTTGTTATCCTTCCCTAATGGATGTTTTAGACCTCTTTCCGTTCGTGAAGCTACCGCTTGAGCGGATGCTGGAGATCACCGGGCCTCTTCAGCCGCGGAAGTTTAGCATCGCCAACCACGAGGCGCTTTTGGACGATCAGGCGAAATCTGTAGAGCTTTGCCTGCGCCGTGTGGTATCTCACCGAAGGGCATCATCCAAAGCTCTTGGTGGCAACGAAACGGCCCTTCACTTGGCGAATTTACTAAATAACATCGCCATACAAAGAGCAGCTCGCAATGAAATGTCATCCTCATTCTTTTTTGGTCATACCACAAATCCTTTAGTTTGGGAAGCCACTCGGGGTGGGGCACGGCAGTTCCTCGAGCGTAAGGTTTACATGGGAACTTCCCTCTTCGGTACCTCTTCTTTTAGCCGAGAGCTCAAAAAGGCGCTTTTTCACCTTGTTTCAGGTAGTATTGAACGGTGTGCGGCGCCGGTTATTATGTTAGGAGCGGGAACGGGAATTGCTCCTTTAATAGCGGGAGTTCGCGAGTTGATGAGGGGGCGAAGGGAGAAGGGGGTTGCGATTTCTTCTGCCCCATACCCCTGCATGGTGATGTACGGTAGCAAATCTAAGGCGGAGTTGGTATACCACGAGGAGCTTCTTTCTGCCTGGAAATGTGGCGCTATTAATTCATACGAGTACGCTCTCTCACGTCAGGCAGATGGGGGTAAAGGCGGCGAGCGTGTAACCGATCTTATGGAGAAGAATGCGGATTACATCAGAGAATCGCTCTTATGTCTTCAGGGCAAACTTTTTTGCTGCGGTCCGGCGAAGGCTATGGAATCCATCCGAAGCCTTTTGGAAAAAAAGATACTTGCCGACCCTGACGATGATGAAAGCATGCAACAACATCGCATTCACTTTTTAACAGAAAAGAAGCAGATCATGTTTGATGTCTGGACTGCGATCGATTTTATGAGTTAAATACAATCAAGCAACCCCCCCCCCCAAAAAAAAAACATTACCCATACGCGCCCGAATAATTAATTGATGCTTGCGTGTAAAAAGCAAATCGCTTCGCAGGGGTGGGAGCCAAACTCTTTCTGCTGCGCATCGCGATTGATTACAAAATAACCTTCCTATTTGCTTACCTTTCTATATACATATATATAGATGTACATCCTGTGCATTGCGAAAAGCAGAATTTTAATACTTCATCCTTTTTTCCCCTTTGATTAACCAACCAGCTTCCTTATCTATCATTTCTCTTTATCAATTGTCCACCGTAGTTGGTGACTTTTGACATCGCCCAACAGGAGATTATCTTGGAACAAAGGAAAGATGGGAGGCGATGATTCATTGTGTTTGGACGAGCCTCAGGATGGATCGACTTCCACCCATTTGTGGGGAACCTGGGAGCTTTGGTGCGATCTAGCACAGAACAACCCCCACCACGGCGCCGCGGACGCACCCTCCCGCACAAACCCCTCCACCGTCAGCGGGAGTTGGCTGAATCAGATCAAACACATCGGGATCTTCGACAACGCGGAGGCCTTTTGGGGGCTGTGTAATTGCCTTTTGCTCCCTTCACAGCTGCCCGGGAATACGACGTACTTCCTCTTTCGCAGTCATATCATGCCGATGTGGGAGCATGAGGCGAATCGTCGTGGTGGGAAGTGGATAGTAACCTTTTCTCACCCCCCTTCCCACGTACCCGCCGCGGGTAAGGACGAGGCGAAGGATATGAAAGCAACGGATCGGATGCTCCCCGTGGATGTGGCGTGGCAACGGCTGTGTTTGGCTGCGATCGGGGAGTTATTTCCCTGTGAAGAGGTGGAGATTTGTGGGGTAACGGTGAATCGAGTAAAAGCCCGTGTGGGAGGGGGGGGGACCAGCTATGCGGAGTGGAAGGTCTGCGTTTGGACGCGAATGGCGAGCGAGGAGGCCACTCAGATGGCGATCGCGCAATTTATAAAGGAACTGCTCGTGGGGAATACGATCACCGATCACGGGAACGCGCCCGTTGCGTCGAATACTCCGGTTTCCTGCCAGGAAGGGGGGGAAAAGGGGGGTGTCGCGCGGATGACATTGAATTTTATGCCTCATCGAGAGCTGATGGAAGCGAAGCAGTGCCATGCTCAAGGGGGTGCGCGCGCTCCGATCATCAAACCCAAGTATACCTTAGATTTATAGAAATAAACACACAGGGAAGGAGAAGGTTTTGCTGTTTTACCTCTTCTTATTTTTCATATTTTATATTTACATATAGATATGCATGCACACACACATATATATATATATATGTATATATTTATATGTATATGTAGAAATAGATATCGAACGAAAATTAATCTATATGATTCCGCCTTTTCTTCCTTCTTCCACTGTATTTTGTATGGTCCTATAATTTTTTAGTGGGCAGCTAGATGAAAAAGTCCAGAGTCTTCAATAGTTGATCACCTTAATATTCTTCTCCTTATTTGTTGTTTTTTTTCTCTTCGGCGTGGCGTTCAGGACACTTTTGCACTATAAGGTAGCTTGGTGTTGAGGTTCGTCAATTGTTCTAACAGTCAAGTTCTTTCAGTATTCCATAGAACACCGTTCTAGTATATATATATATTATAAATAAATAAATAAATATATATATATATATACATTTAACAACTGACCGATAAACAAAGTAATTTTTTTAGGGTTGAAGGGGAAAGATGTTCGGACGACGGGTTGCATCAGGTTACGGCATCCCCAAGGTGATGTACGCCCGTTTAGGGATTCATTCATCGAAGCAAGCTAACCGGCGGGTCCCCGCGCTAGTGCCCGTGAGCGGGATGATCTCGCGCAGCGTAAGTGGAGGCCTTAATGAGCTTCTTGCAGCATCCTACGGTGAGAAAATCGCAATTGGGGGGGATCTTGCGAAAACGATAAATCCGCTTGCCTGCCTTGGGCTGCTACCAAGCACCTTGGCGAACTCAGTCTACGCTAACCAATTTTTGATAAAATTGCTAATGGATATGACATGCACTTATAGATTTATGATTTCGCATTTAATAGGTGGATGATTAGAATAATATCGCACCAAGACGCTTTTCACCCTTTTTTTTTGGTGGTGGTGGATGCTGGTTTGTTTCAGCGGCAGTAGGAAAGATATACTGCGATGGGCGTGGATCGCAGCGAGCCATGATGGATGCATCCATTATGTCATATCTTCATTATCGAAAATTTTCACATCTAATATATCCATATATATATATATATATATATCTTGTCAGCAAAGCATTTGACGATTTGCATGCTTTAAGCGCAACAGAGATGGATGTAAATGACGATTTTAATGCTTGATCTCATTGCATGTTTTCTTATGGTATCTTTGATCTTTAACAATAATCACACTCTTGACCAACGCTAAGCAAAGATAAAAAGGGCAGTACTATCGGAACCGTAAGTTATATTGTGCTACGGTTTTAGGACCGCCTTCACAATTTTTTTCCCTATACATAGATGCTAGAGCGATCTAGTTCCTTAGATGTGGAGCCATTTCGAATTAGTAGACGGTCTTTGCTAACTGCGAACATCATTCTTTCTATCGGCCTTATTTTTATAAATAAGGAAATTTTTGAGGAATTTGGCTTTCCTCACGCACTTATACTTACCACTATTCATTTTGCATTTACTCTTTTAGTATTAATAGCTTGCCGTTGGCTAGGGATTTTCAAGTTCAGGAGGTTGCCTATATTCGAGATCCTACTAGCATGTCTAGGCTTTTGCGCCTATGTTTCCCTCTCCAACCTTTCTCTCATGCTCAACCCAGTGTGATTTTACCAGTCCGTGAAAGTGATCCTGTTGCTAGTGTTATTCATGAGAAGAATGAGCCCCTTTACGAGGTTCTTATCCTTCGGGATGCTCATTGGGTTTGCTGAGATGGGCGTTGAGATTGTGATCATCGTCATGACGAGTTCGGAATTGAATCTTCTTGGCGTTACCGTGGCATCTGCGACGGTGTTGACGGGGATCCTCTTTAATCATTTACTTTACGTGAAGCTGGGGAAGCTCAATGTTCATCCGATTCAGATTCTCCCATACCTGTTCTTCATTTCCTTCTGTGTTAGTATACCTATTTCCTTCTATTCACTGGACGAAGACACCTTTGTCTACCCAACGCTTGGAGCGAAGCTACTCATCTTGGGTTCTTCAATACTATCGGCCTTTGTGAATATTTTGAGCTTTTCTACTATTTCGCTGTTTAACCCGTTTACGAATAGCATACTGTGGACCTCTAAGATGCTTAGCATTACGTTTCTAATAGCTCCAATGTTTGAGGACTCGATTTCCTCTACAACTATAGTTGGAATCATTCTAACAGTGATTTCCATTTGGTGGTGCTCGTTTGTCTCAAGGAGAGGAGAAAAGTAGCCTAACGAACTAAGTTTCTCCAGTATAGTAGGCAGAAAGGTTTCCCCTGCAGTCGTATTGGAGAGACTAGAAGGGAACCTTAATTTGGACCTCATTTTTGTGAGGGTAAAGGGTGTTTAAAATTTTTAATGTGTTTAATGTCGTTGCATTCGATATGACAATTTATTTACGTGGGCTCTTTTGAATAAAATATTTGCTTAATGCAAACCGCAGAATTTTTACGCTCCTCAAATGATGCTGTTGATGGATCCATTTTGTATGGATACTAAGTTGATCTGCTCTTTTCTTGCTTATTGCGTAAATTCCCGTTGGAAGTAGCTTTACAAGTGCTGCGTTCGCTAGCAAGAAGAGAACCTCTCTTGAGATGCTCTGCCTTTCATCCAGATCGAGGTATATTCGTATTTCAGCTACCATACGGTTTTTGGGGGGATCTGGATGTGGGATTTGTCCTTTTGATGTTCAGAGCGCCTTCCGCCGCCGTCTTCACACACCTCTCGGGGGTTTTCAAGAAACTCTTCCGCCGTCTTTCGGGCGAACCAAAGCGAAGGGAGCGCTTAGCAGCGTGAACCTCGCGCAGAAAAACGCGCGTCGCCGCTCGCTACGACGCCATAAACGAAAGCTCCTCGTTACTTCGGAGCGCCATCCCCCGAAAAACCCTTCCACGGTGGCGGAAGAGGTGCTTTTGAGCTTGCAGGAGCTTATCAAGAAGAACAAAGCCTCCCATGGCGACATCGCAGACGATGTGCAAGAAGAAGAAGCAACAGAAGAAGCAGAAGAAAAGGGGGAGGAGGTGGTGCAGGAGAAGGAGAAGGAGAGCAGGAGCTCCGTTAGGGAGGGAGAAAAGGCGAGGGATGAAAAAAAGAGCCCAATCGGCGGCGATTGCCGCGATCAAACGTTGCTCGACGCCGCGGCTTCCACGCGAACCTCCGAGATTTTCCCGCTCGTGGTGCTCCCCAGCGAGGAAGAAGAGGGAGGTGGTGGAAGAGGAAGAGGAGGAGGACGAGGGGCCTCGGAAAGTTGGGAACGCGAGCAGACGCTCGAACGACGCTTTGCAGTAGTTCCCGGGAGCACGATCTTTGGTGGCGACCTCGACCGTTTGGAGCAGGATATGATGCGGGATTTTCACCAACGCGGTGCGAATCTACCCCGCTTCGATTCCGTTTTTAGCAAATTCGGGGGTGGAAGCGCGGGAAGGCGGATGTCGTGGACGCCTTCCTCCTCCTTTGATCATCTGAAAGGCGTGGATCGGAATCAAACGCGGCCCGGGGTGGTGGGAGACGCCTTTAACGCGAACCTCTCCGCGTACCACATGCCCGCGGAGGCTTATCGGGAAACGCAGGAGGCCCATGCCGCGCGAAGGGCTCACGGCGAGCAAGCCCTTCGCGGGCTTAACTATTGCAAGATACGCAACGAGGCGGAGGGTTTTTTCAACGACACTTCCGCCCCCACGGCGTATCCGAATCCGCACATGAAAGACAACCACCGTGATCTGGCAGCGGAAGCGAATCCTCATTTTCCCCTCCCAGAGGAAGAGTCGGAGGTCGTGCGGGGTGTTTTGAACCCCGTCGACGACGACGACGACAACGATGGCATCAAGAACCATTCTCCTTCCTCTCAGCACCTTGTGATCGACGCGCGAACGGATTACCGCCCCGTTTTAACCACCGTGGAAGCGGACGAGGATGCGTTCGAATACGACGCCTACAAACAGCGGCCTGTGGAAAATCGGCTGCTGGAGTTGCGGGATATGGATTTCTGGGAGAACCCGGAAGCGCAACGCGAACTTGAAACCTATCTTCGCCACGAGGACGAATTATTCGAGATGGAAGTTCTCCAGGAAGGGGCGATGGATACCAGCGAGGTCGATTACAGCGCGAACCGAGTCCGCAAGGAGGTCTTGCTGTATTATCAAGCGCACCCGATCAACGAGATGATTCAGGAGTCCTTCGTGCGGATTCGCGAGTTCGCGCCCGGGGATGGCGGCGAGGAGGTTTGTTTCCACCCCTTCGCGGACGAGCCGGACGCGGCGGGGGGGATGGGGCACGCCGCGGCTTCGAACGAGGCCCTGCGGGCCCTTCGTCGGAACCTCGACCTCCCACTTCCCGAGGCGCGTCGGATCGCGCAGGGGCTCGGGCTCGACCTCATCCGCGTTGGGGCCCTCCACACCGACCGCAGCGATCGCCGCGTGATCGCGCTGTGCCGGATCGCCGACCACCGCGAGCACCTGCGCGCGATGGTGCGGTTTAAACTCGCCAAACTCGGCGTCCGCGCGGCGCCGACGCGGGGGTTGGTGGAGGTCCCCTTCCGCGGCCCCACCCACCCCCATGGGATCCGCTTCAAGGCCGTCGGGGTCGCCAAGTGGCTGCTCCGCGGCCACGCCGTGGCGCTGCGGCTGACGGACTTCGGCACGCCGCGGGAGGGGTTCCCCGTGCTGCAGGCGATCCTCGACGAGATCCGCCGCCAGGCGGGGCGGCTGCGGGCGTTTCACACCGC